TAGCCCCTCTGGGCCCGGCAGCCAGGCTTGCGCCAGAGGGGACCCGGCGCCGGGTGCTGCCGACGTGAGGGTGCAGCCCCCGGGGGATGTGGCACGTAGCTGTGTTAACTGGCTTGCTTGCTCCTAGCACGGACGAGTCCACCTGCTGTTGGTGAGGGCGAGTGATCTCGGGGACGGGTGATGTCGGAGGCTGTGGATCTGTCTTTCCTGTCGGATGTGGAGAGGGATTTGATCCTGCAGGTCCTGCAGCGAGATGAGGAGCTCCGTAAAGCAGAGGAGAGGAGGATCAGGTGGGAACGTGGCTGGGCCAGGCAGGCTACTGGTTTCCCTGGTTTGCTCTAAAGTGGCTGGAGGGCGGAGGGCTTGTGCAGGGGAGGCCGGTCTGAACCGCGCTCTCGCTGGAGCGGCGGCTCGGCGGTAGTCTCGTGGCCTGGTGCAGCTCTGACTGCCCCTGGTGTTTGTGTCCGAGCAGGCGCCTGAAGAACGAGCTGCTGGAGATCCGGCGCAAGGGGGCCAAGCGGGGCAGCCAGCGCTACAGCGAGCGGACGTGCGCCCGCTGCCAGCAGAGCCTGGGCCGCGTGAGCCCCAAGGCCAACACCTGCCATGGCTGCAACCACTTGGTGTGTCGGGACTGCCGTTCCTATGGCGCCAACGGCTCCTGGCGCTGCAAAGTCTGCACCAAGGAGGCGTGAGTGCACGGGGGCTGGGGGCCAAGCGGCAGGTTCCTGCTGCCTGCTCCTCCTGTCTCCTTCCTCAGCCCAGTCACCCTAGCTTGATACTGCGTTGCCATCCCTTCCTCCTGACCCTGCACAGCTGGGCTCTAGTGCAGCTCTGGGCAGCTTAGTCTTCTGGGCGATTGTCCCTGCTTTAGCTTACCCAGGCTCTCCGGAGGTGGGCACCTTCCCTTGGGTGATCAAGAACTGGCCATACCCCACTCCTGGGTCTCCTTTCTCCTTGCCTTGCTCCTCTTTGCCCCTTGGCTCCATGTATCTCCTGTGCGACCCTTGCACAACCTGTGTTTCAAGCACTCAGGTTTTCTCCTTTTCTCCTTTGCCTCACCTGCCCTGCAAAACCCTGGTCTTGGGCCTGTTATCCTCTCTGGAGCAGGGCCTTGTCTTTGCACAGCCGTGTCCTGGATGTGCCCGGTTTGTCTGTGCTGTTCTTGGCCTGTTCCTGCCAGCGAGGGCAGCTGCAGGCCTGCTATGAGGTGCTGAGGACGGCCCCTCACTACCCCTCTGTCCTGCAGAGAGCTGAAGAAGACGACAGGTGACTGGTTCTATGACCAGAGGGTCAATCGCTTTGCCAACAGGCTGGGCAGTGACATTGTGCGGCTGTCTCTGCGGTACAAGTCTGCAGGTAGGGGCTGTTGGCGAGGAGGTGTTGTGTAGCCAAGCGCCAGAGCTGGAGGGATCTCTTCTCCCACAGCTTGTGGCAAGGCCGGTGCTGTTACTCTGTCCCTCTGGGATGCCCCAGCTTTCGTTGGGAGTGCCG